TTTTTTTTTTTTTTTTTTTTTTTTAAACATATTTTTCCAGCTAAACCTGACATGGGTTTCTGGGAGGAAGTGGACTTTAACTATGATGGATGATTATTCAGATGCTGCTTAACCAATAGTTTCAGAAAATATTTACAAATTCCTTCTCCTCTGGCAAATATGTAGCTTTTCAAATTTTTTTCTTTTAACTTCATGTCCATCTATCACTTTTAAGCTCATGACTGGCCTTGCTGACAACATGTATATAGGCGATTTATATTAATTCACTGTAAAATCTCATTCCTCCGAACAAGACAACATTTAAAAAATAAATCTTAATTATGATCTAAACTTAATTTATGAAAGCGAAAGCAAAAAATAAAAATAAAATTATGGTTGGGACCCACCCTTCAATGGGACCTGAAACAAAAGAACCCTGCCCCCACAAGTAATGCATGCTTCTTTTACACTAACCTTTAAGAAGATCCTAGATAAAGCCTCTGCTTTCCATCCACCCTCTTTAAGTATAATTGGTCTGAATGTAATTTAGAGGTCAGTTTTGGAAAGACAGAACAGAACTACCAACTTCCCTTCAACACATCCTAAGAGTTTTACTCCTGAAGATCTGCCTATTCATGTAAAAGTGCTGAGCAGCACTGATATCGCTCTCCCTGGGTCTGTGTCTACATCTACATTTCTCTTTTGAACTTCCTCTGGAAACACCTAAGCTACATCAGAGCAGCTAAGAATGAACTAATATAACCTGATACTGAGGACCTCTTCGGAGAATCAACCTGCAAACTCTGCCTGGTCAGAAGTGTCTGCTGCTATTTTATTTTAGAAACAAATTTCTTCCATTCTATCCCTCCTGGAATTACTCCTAGTCAAATATACTTACATTCAGTCCACTGTAACAACTGACCTAAGGACAGATTGTCCATTTTGTTTAAAAAACCCAGAAGACTTTAACAGAGAGAAAATTAACAGGGCTCTACAGATATTAATGAGTTCTAGAGAAGTTACTTTCATACACTTTTAGAAAGATAACTATAACCCTGCCACAAAAAAACTAAGAACGTTTTTAGAAGCTTGATGAGAAAGATGACCACCTGTATTAAATTCCATAAAACTTTATAGAAAGTTTGTTTTATTCTACTTGCTAGTAGAGAAAAACCAAATCTCATCTCCTCTTTCAGAAGCAGACCACAGAGAATAAATCAAGCCAAAAAAAACAAAAGAAAACAAACAAACAGCCACAACCATCAACCTCATCTGTCTCGATGTCTTGAAAGCAGTCTTTCTCAAGTTTTCTAGTAATTAATGATTTTAGTCAAGGTTGGGAAATGCTCAAACCTGTATGTTCTATTTTTCTTTATAAATTGGTTTGCTTCCCCCTTTATTTTACATGTACATTGTAGTTCTTAAAAATAACTGTGAAAGCCAAGCAACTCTAATTATTAACCTAGTTAATTAACAGGCTTCTTTTGCTTACTAAAATAAGAAGGATTACGGGGAGAGAGACAAACAAGGGAAATGAAAATTGCAAGAGTTACATTAGACGCACAGATTATCTTGCGCTACGTAACAACACTGAACTATGGCGGGCTTCTTATTTCCTTACTGATAACTAGGGTTTTGGAAGGGTGCCCATTGTGTGCTCAAAAACTCTGTAGTAACAGTGAAATCTGCAGACATAAATAATAGCTGTTTTACAGTACAATCCTCGCTCAATGCTCCATCCCATATCTTTTCCTTTTGCATTAGGATCTCTTTCTTTCTACTGTACTTTCAGTGTTATCCTTGGTGCTGATTTTTCTCTCTGCTTTACATAATTTATGTTTTACAGATGTAAATTTGAAATTGTGCAGAGGTAACCATTTCAGCCCAGTGACCAAGTGAGTCCATGCACATAAATTTTCAAGCGTTTGGAGAAGATACACAAAGGGAAAGTTCAATAACCCATATACTGGACAACTGTTATGTGGAAAAATTCACTTTTTGTAATTTAAGCCAAAATCCTATTGACATTAGAACCTGAAGGTTGTCTCTACGGCAGACTCCCTTTTCTCCTTGGAAAGAAATTCCTCCTTTGCTAACCCTTGTGCAGCAAAATTGGAAGCACTGTCACTGACAAGGCTCCAAGCAGTTGTTAGCTTTTTAACAAAGTTAGTTGTCCACACCTTTTCAAGCAGGTCTATGTAAAGAAACATTATAAAAGCCATCATCTACCTACCAGTGTCATGTGCTTCCCTCATTGTTATCACTGGCGGAACAATGCAGAGAATACTAATAATGTACATTGTTTCTTACATTTCTTTGATAATGGCAGAATAAGATGAAATCATTCAAATATTCCTGAGACATGACTTTGGAAATATTGTAAAGTTGCAGAGAGTTCTTTTTTTTTCCTTTTATGTACAGCTAGCTACTCTTGTTACAGATGAAAAACCCCATGATTACTGAAACTGAGAGATTACAAACCTCAATATTAGGCATTCTTGCTTTATATGTACAAGAGCATTTGGTACACAATCAGTTTCATTATTGTTTATCGTGTCAGATATTCATGTAAACAACTAGAAGGGAAAGAAAAACACTAAACAAAAAGGTGACTTTTCTGAAACTTGACATGAGCCAGCTGTAATATTTGAAACTATTTCTAACCCATTACAGATTGTGACTGTGAAGGTAGCAGTGTATTTTAACTTAGCAGACTCTCATGCACCTTTATTATTTCAGTAATAATTTTTGTTTTATTTTGAAAACACAGTTTTTGTAATGCTAGTCTTCCAAAAGAAAATGTTATATGCCATTAAAAATGTTATATGCCATTACAAAGCAGTAGCCAGCACTGTTCTTGGGAATTAAAAAACTTAGTTTGCTACATTTCAGCAATCTCCTACAAACCTACACAACATATATGTTAAGGCATCTAAATGATGTCACATGCTTTTAAATATACCAATATCATCTACTTTTCCTTGTTAATAACAAGGAAATGCTTATTATTTTCTGTTGGGTAGGACTGAGGAGATTTTGGCTGTACACTTGTCAAGCTGAAACTATGTTAGGCAGAAATGACTTTTCCTCTTGATTTGGAATCTTAAAATAACTTCATACACTTCTAAACACCACCATTACCTTCAACCAAGAAACTGTTAGACAGAATGGCTGTCTAGCCTCAAATCTGTATAAAATTATAAGCTACAAAGTCTGTAATAAAATCACTTCAGAAAATAAAATAGCTAATGGAGACTACAGGCCAGATTTTCAAAAGTGCTTACAGCGCACAACTGCGCCCCATAGAAACTGTTGGGCACCACCCTCTTCTTGAAAAAACTAGCCCTCCTCTTCCTACAAGGAACAATAACTGTGTTTAGAGAAATATTTAATAACAGTTGGATTTATTTGACAAACAGCAACTACATTGTACCAGTGGCTGTTTTACTTGTGTAAGCGGGGCTAGGGACAGAAGTTACAAACAAACCAGTTTAAGTGATCAGAAACTGGTTTAAACCTGTAACAGAACAGAAGTTCAGTGCACAAAAACCAGTTTCAAAATAGCCCTACCTGGTTTAAGAGAAACCTGGTTGAATGTAGTATCAGACTTAACTGATTTAGATCTAACCAGTTTCTGGAAGGGTCCCAGACCCCTTGCTGGTTCAAGTTAAATCACAGTCCCCCAGCATCCCAAGATGCTTTGCAGCCCTGGGTTTGGCTGTGCTGTCTGCTTGAGCAGAGCAGGTTTGGTCCCGTCCCTCTGCTCTCTAGCTGGAGCAGTGAGGGCTGGCTGACAAGGGCATGGGGGTGGAAAACCCTGCTGGGGATGCAACCTGCTCTGCCTGGTGGGGTGGAGCAGCCCCTGCCAGACTTTTCTTCCACTGGAGTGGAGGAGACAGGAGCATGGGCCAGCAGGCTAAGGTGTGTGTGTGTGGGGGGGTTAAACTCCCTCTATGGCCCATGACACCCCCAGCCTGGGTCTGCATGGAGAGGGACTGCTACTTCTGCCCTGCCTGTCCTGCTCCTTGCAGCAGCAGAGAACAGGCGGTGTGGCCACACCCAGGCTGGGGCTGGCAGGGTGAGGCAGGACAGCGGGGTTTAATCCAACCTTCCCCCATTCTCCCATGGGACCCCAGCCAAGGTCTGTCTGGCTTTTTCCCCCCCACTCAGCACTCAAATGGCAAGAGCATAGCCCAGAGGTGGGCAAAATGCAGCCTGCAGGCCATTCTCTCTGGCCCGCGAGGCCCCTAAAAAAATTTACAAAATGAATATTTATCTGCCCCTGGCTGCCTGTCACGTGGCCCTTGATGGCTTCCCAGAACTCAGTAAGCAGCCCTCTGCCCAAAATAATTGCCCATCCCTGGCATAGCCAGATGCTGGCCTCAGGCTACTGCCTGGGGCCAGCATCTGGCCATGCCCCCTGCCACTCAAGGCACGAGAAAATACCAGACAGACCCTGGCTGGGGTCCTGTGCCAGTAGCAAAGGGAAAGGGAGGGGGTACTCCCTGCTCTCTTATCCTTCACCTCATGCTGCTGCCCAGGGCCGGCATCTGGCCACACCTTGCACTCGGGAACAAGCCTGGCAAGGTCTGCTTCCCCCTTCTCCCTCCAAGCACACCACAGCTGGAAACCATGCAGGCCATTGTAGAGGTTTAAACTCCTCCTAGTCATACTCAGTGGCCTGCCAGGACCTGGCCACAGCCCCCTTCTCAGCTCAGCTCCCCTCCAGCATTGCAGCCACTGCCAAAGGGAAGAGAGGGCTTGCTTTAGCACCCCCCAGCTTCTAGCCTGAGCCGCTGCAGGCATGTGGCTGCATTTCCAGAATCAAAAGTGAACATCTGTTTACTTGCTCTTGGTTCAATATACGCAGGCTAGACTAAACTGTAAAGACTGAATCAATTCAAGCTCAGGCTTTTTGAACCTCTGTACTTAGCTTAACTGGCCTAGACTATAACCAAGACTATTAGCTGGCTTTAAGGTTTTAGACAGATTAGGAGTAATAATAATAGTTGCAGCATGCATCTAGCAAAGTTATACGAATCACACAGAATCCTAAGATAAAATCTGTAAATCATAGTGTAAATCAAAGGCACTAAATAGAATGAAAAAAAAAAATCAATGAAGAAAACAATTCTGATAATCTGTTGCTTTTTGCTAATGGAGTTTGGGCAGCATCCACTACTTTAATCTTGCTTCACTAAGAATCCCTGGAAAACAAATAATTTTCATTACAAAGGGTCTTATGCGTAAAGACTAGCATTTTGGGACAGAAAACGAAAGCAGTGTCCTCCTAGGAGGACACTGCCCTGTATATGTAAATTGTTTTTGAGCAGCATTTTGCTACTCAGTAAAAGGAGGACAATTTTAAACAGAAATGTTCTACTTACCAAGATACTTGTTTGCACACTGTTGTATAGTTGCAATAATACATGTTCAGAATACACTTGGTACATTAAAAGACTGTCCAATTTCATTAGCTGTATAACCACATAAAGAAAGGGACTGTACTGAGCCATCTTTGTTATTTTATAAAGAACGATGCAAGATTACTCATTCTTGGGCAGAGAGGGAGGACAGGATTACTTTTTATTAAACTATTTTTAACTGGAATTTAAACAATAGACTTGGAGCGGGAGCTACAGCTTTAAAAAATACTCAAACTTTGTTTGGTTTGGAACTACACTATGTTCAAAGTTTTATATGAAACTTTGACCTTGGTGTCAAATTCCAACTCAGACACACACATATTTGTCACTTACAACTGCACATGTTGGCCGCAGGCGACAACCTGGTGAGGGGGCTGTGGATGCTCGACCACCTGGGCGACAGCGATCATTGCCTGCTGGAATTCACCATCCAG